CTATTCGATTTTTCTACTAAAATAAATATACTCTGATAAAAGACAAATAAATAATGCGTTATGTGTTAATTGAAAAATGTATATGATTAAGCTAAAAGATATGAAAAAATCAAAATATTACTCATAGAGAAAGGAAAAATACCTGAAATTTTGTAGTTCGTCGAAGGTCATTTTATGAGGCTGGAAAGTTGCATGGTGGAATTTGGGAACAGAAGGCATTGGTAGCGGTGGCAGACGTGTACTACCTAGGTTCTTTTCTGGATCCACTATGTTTTTAGCCCTTGGAAAGAGAACATTGGGTATTGATTTGTTGGAAAGTAAATGTCCAGGAAATTGTACTTGGTGCATGGACACGGGAAAAGATTCTGATAATGGAGAGCCTGTCAGACATGACATGTCAGACATGTCTTTATTCTCGTTTTTATAATTTGAATAGGACGTTGCATGATGGCGTCATTTGAACCCCACTACCATATGCTTGGCGATTTTTTTTCTTGTTCAAATTTGTATTTCCTCATGAGAATAGTAAGACAATTGGTGCTAATCAAATGAACAAAAGAAAGTATGCAAGGGACTCTGGTAGAAGAGGTTAATGACGCCATCATTCAAAGTCTTGGCGCTCCTCACTCTCGTCCCTTTCCCTGCCGTCTGCATTCCTTTACATCAATTCTTCACTTGTTGCTATGGGATACATAGAATCTTAGGTTTAGGCTTGGTAGAGACAGAGATATGAGATCGAAGGTCTTAAAGTGCTTGTGACTGCCTTTACATCAGGGAAGGGAAAAACCCGCATATGTTTTAGGGGGGTGAGGGAGGGATGATTTGTTTGAACATGTGGTAGGGAATGACCCCAGCTTTCCCAAAGGACATCTCAGCTACTCGTCTGATGTAAGTTTCACGATGCCCCCTGGCCTAGCTTCGGTTAAGCATTTTTTCATCAGGCAATATATTAATCCACGTTAGACTAAAACTACTTTGTTTGCGCTTTCAAAAATCGTATATTTCTGCTACAGTGCATGGAGCTATGTAGCTGAGATGGACTCACCAAGTCTTGGATCTGAAAAGCGTTCCAGGAATCCGTGATGGATTGACCGGGCCTGGAATTCTACAATGTAAAACAACAAATTTAAATGATAAAAAWAATAAATGCAGTGTTGCATTTAAACATTGGCCTAAGGGTCGGGTCGCTGGTTCGAGACCTGTTGACTCCAAATGTGAATAGAGTTTGTTGGATGTGTCATTCTCTCCCTAGACTGATTCCATAAGTTATAGTTTGTGCTCCTTTGTGGGTTGTGGTTGCTCAACTAGCTACTGTGTGAGTGAAAAACATGGTCTGAAATTGGAACAAAGTGATAGGATTATATATTTATTATTATTATTATTATTAATTATTGGGAATGTGTTTTTCAACATACTTGTCCATCTTTAATGACAACTCGGGATCTATGAGATAAAAATGAAGTACAAAGTTAGAATTATACATCAAGGTCATGAATCATCAGCATCCCTACCACTACCAGACTATGGTGAACATCATCATTCATTATTGACATCAGCAACAATATTTACCATGCCAGACCATGCATGGTAATCATCATCATCATCATTCATCATCATCAACAACATTAACAACAATATATACTACTACCAGACCATGGTGATCATCATCATCATTCATCATTAGGCATCAACAACAATATGAACCACAATCTGACCGTGGTGATCGTCATCATCATCATTCATCATTGACAGCACTAACAATATCTAGAAGGGTCTCTTCTAGCCTTCCAGTGGGTCTTTGATTGCTTTTAGTATTGGCTTTCAAAACTTAGGAATTTCCACAGGCAGGGTGCGGTTGTCTTGCTCCATCCCCTATGCACTTTTTGACTGTATACCGATCAAATCYATCAAATCAACCCAGTCATGATCACCTGGTAATCCAAGAGCCGTTGCTCTTTGTCCCCATGGTTGTCTGAGAGGGCTTTGATCCTAGGGTTAAAACAAGAAATTAGTCTGTGTAACTGGTCAAGGGGAAGGAGGTAGGGGAGGGAAACAAGGAGGGGAAGAAGAAGGAGAACCCTGAAACAACCTCTGGGCTGATCTAAGTCAGGGCATGGCTAACTCACAGATCAAACCCTGAAACAACCTCTGGGCTGATCTAAGTCAGGG